AGGCCCTCCCTCCCTCCCTCCCTCAGCCTCCCCTGTAATTACCTCCAGTCTGGAATTAAACAGTGTTCACTCTTCAGAGGGCTAATGTACAACAGATGAGTACCGGTAGGCCTGATCCTCCATGAACGCCTAAATCTGTGTCACAAATGGCACCCTATTCCCTACATAGTGCACTACTTTTATAATAGTAGTACACTGTATAGGGGATTGGGTGCCATTTTGGACACATCCTCAGTCAGCGCTGGCTACACAAAGAGGGAGTCCATGTAAAGCTGACCTTGGTCTGGCCAGTTCAGTACTGTGTCTCCCCGTCTGGCGCGAGCTAGCCAGCTAAACAGTGGAATTGTCCTGCTCGATGCTCCCATTAGCTTATTTTTATAACAGTGAACGAGTTGCGGTCCAACAAACACATGCTTCATTTGCAGTGATCCGCTACAGGCCCCACGGGAACTCACCTGTGATTGACACCCAGGTACAGACCCCCCTCGTCCCACTCCCTCGACTCTCCCCCCTCCCCATGCACCAACCCTGGGCCCTGGTCCCTGGTCCAAGGACGAGCGACGGACGGGAGGGAGCGCTGTATAAAAACAGAACAAACAGAGCAGGGCCGTCATTAACCTGCTTCCTGTCCTCATCCTGTAAACCCCTCCAGGCAGCACATTAAGAATCACGACCCGCGGAACAATAGGGAGCTCACTTAGCCTGCGTGGACTTGGACCGGCTAGCCCAACTCAGAGAGAGTGCAGTTAGCTAGCATCACATATCCACCTAACACTGGGGGAGGCAGAGTAAACATCCCCACAAAGAAGACACCTTGAGAGAGTTCAGACAGAGAGAGTCTGTCTGCTGTCCTGGGTATGAAAGATGCACTGTGTGTTTAAGACTAAGGACAGGGGAACTACTGTATCTATCTCTCTGACTGTGTGATTCACTCAAAGAGCTAGCTCAGGGATCATGTTGTCCCCAGGCTCCATCCCCCACGTCCACCCCCAGCCTTCCTGAATCCTGCCTGAAGTGAGAGCACTTTCAGGGGGCTGCCCAGGTAAGGATTTAGGGGCTCTGATTTACGGCTCTATGGGGACCCCACAGCTGGGGTGGGGATTAGGCCCAGGGCCGGGGCAGGAAGGCTTGGGGATGGGGGATGGGGGGGGGGGGGGGTAAATCAGGGGTTCTCGTTCAAACTCAAGGAGAGGAGGAGAGGAATGGAGGGATGGGAGGAAGAGCGAGTAAGACATGAGAGGAGAATTGACAGGGATTAAAACCTGTACAATCAGTTGAATATAGTCCTACTTGGACATTAAAATGATCAGTCTTCTCTGTATTAGTCATTAGGTCCCTTTGATGGGGACCGCTTGGTTTTCAAAAGAATGTTCTTTCAGCTTTGTTGTGTTGATTTAGCCCATCTCAATGTGGAGTTGGCTTTTGAACCTTATTAAGACCCAAGAGATGTTCTTCTTCTTGTCTTAAAATCTACCTCAAACAGTCAAGGTCCTGGTCAGGATCTCAAACTAAAGCTGTTGTTGCAGCCTAGGGCCACACACACTGTATCCCCTCCCCAAGTACTTAAACGTGCTGTGTCTACGACAGAGAGTGAGTGATGGTGCACACCGCCCCTGGAGGGCTGGAGAGACACAGCGGGAAGGGAAGGCTGATTCTCAAACCAGCTGCAGGTCCAGGGACAACACGACTGGGATTTCGTCCCTAATGGCCCTGGTCAAAAGTAGCGCACTATATAGGGAATATCGCGCCATTTGGGATGTAATCTGAGGCTACGTCCTGATTCACCACCCTTTTCCCAACATGTGCACTTGTGCACTTCTATTGTGGATTTAACAATGGAAACCCCGTCCAGCCAATGATTACACTAATCTAAAACTTTGAAATCTAAGAGAGGAGAGAAGGGTGAAGAATCAGCATGCATCCTGGGACAACATGGCTGAGAGCCAACCAGGCAGCAGGCTGCAGCTGCACACAGAGCCATATAAGAGCTGCCTGCCTGGTGAAAACTGGTAATCTGCCGGAGTTATGAGCGCTATAGCTAGCCTAGCTACCCACATCCTGTTTTGAGAGAGATGCCGATGTCAATTTACGGAAGAATCACGGCCGCCATAGGGCTAGCGTGCCCAGTAGTGGGTACCAAGGTATTTTTATCGTTGTCGTTTGGCTAATACTCCAGCTAACTCCTAATACTCCCCTAAAGCCACAACCCAGACTGTAACAGCCCTCCCTGTTCCTGCCTTAAGGTATGATGAAAGAGGTAGAACTGTACTCTTCTTGTTTTAATCCATCTAGCTACGCCACAAGTATTCACATGTACTATCAATCTGTGACAATCACGTTAATACTCAAAAGGGCTAGATTCAATCCGTACCACTGAAGATCTGCGCTATAGCGCGATTTAAATTGAAAGGCAACGTTCCTGCGTTTGCGGAGACTGCATTCATGGGAAACGCTGCATATGTGGCTCAATCTGAAATTACCTTTACATTTCAATCGCTCTATAGCACAGATCTTCAGCGGTACGGATTTAATCTAGGCCAAAGTTACATCATTTCACTATGTATTGTACCTATAATCATGGTTTTAAAACAACCCCATATGATCTAGTGACAGGTCCATAATTTGGGCAAGTAAAATATATATTTTTATTAACAAAATACACTTTGGACACAGTATGGTTATACAGTACATAGCAGGTAAGGCCCTTTGATACCAGATTTGCTACCATATAGGAAACACATAAAAACGATCTGAAACCCTGTTGAGTTACACACACACACACAGACACACGAAACCAGCCCGGCAGATGCCAGTGTAGGTGTGAATGTCTCCCAAGCTGCCTCCCTCCTTTTCCCTCTCTCTCTGTCCACCACACCTCCGCTGCGCTCTCCCTCTCCACCCTGGAAGAAGTCCTCTGTGTCCAGATAATAAAAGACTGCTGCTGGGTGCCGCCAGCCCTCGTTACTTGCACGAGGAGGCCAGGAGACTGATGCTTCAGCCTGGGCCTGGCCTCCCCTTCAAAGCCAACCCTCTTCCATATCAAATGTGGTGCTTAAAGTAACCAGAGAGTGGCCTTTTACTTTTCTTTAAATTAGCTCAGGCAACTCAATTTCACTGTGGTTTACTTCCACCACCGTCTGCACGGCTGGAGCACCATGATGTCATTGGGCTGTAGTAAGGACATGTGCAGGCAGGCAGGCAGCAGGAAAATAAAAAAGGTTCCCTCTATTTAGGGGTAATTTGTAACAGATCTGAATTAAGCCGACTGCCAAGAGTTCACAGTGCTGTTTTCCCCTCCAATTAAAAGACTGTAAACTCCCCAAAAATTGGATTTTGCAGGTGCTGCAAATTGAGGTCAAGGAGTATCAAATCTGTCCGCTTTCTCTCTCGCTGAAAGATACCCAGTTTAAACTGCTTGTGCGGGGGCTTTGGTTCCTCGTATGCTTTTTAGTAACCCTAAGAAGACAGAAAGAAAATAGCGTAGGAATGTTTTTAGCACTACATCTGCCAAAGTCTTCAAAGTGGAAGAAGGGCTCCATTGTCAGCGAGGGAAAGGACAGACAGACGAAACAAGATTGAGGATCTGTGAGAGAGAACACCTTGGCCCGGTCCTATACTACGCTGGCCTGTCCCTCAGTACACTGGCCTTGCCCTCAGTACACTGGCCTGGCCCTCAGTACACTGGCCTGGCCCTCAGAGCTCTGGGTGCCTCTCATTGTCTCTGTCTGTCTGTCTGTTGACTACTGTGTCCCCAAGCCTCTGGGAAAGAAGAGGTCAACCTGTGTGTATGTGTATCCCATATTCTCAATGGAAGCTCTGTGCATGAGGGTGTCTATTCCTGGTCCAGAGGCACATGACAGACAATGTTCATTTTAGGACAAAATCTGTGATCAAATGTGTCCGTCTAAGTTAACAAAACTCAGTAGCTGCCAACGACTTGCTGGTATCGAAATACTTATTTTATTGAGGTCAGTGGGTGCTATATGTAAAGGACTCAACAGGGCCCTGTGTTGTTCATACCAACAGGGCCCTGTGTTGTTCATACCAACAAGGCCCTGTGTTGTTCATACCAACAGGGCCCTGTGTTGTTCATACCAACAGGGCCCTGTGTTGTTCATACCAACAAGGCCCTGTGTTGTTCATACCAACAGGGCCCTGTGTTGTTCATACCAATAGGGCCAAGCTGAATGTGGTGCTAGATAAACCCTGGTGTGTGTCATCGCAGAGCTCTGATTTAAAAAACAATTGATAGGGAGAAATGTGAGGCTCACCAAAAACCATTCAAAAGTGGCTCATAGTTCCAATCCTAAAGATTCCAGAAGAAAAACCTCATCTCTTACTATAGCTGTGATTAAGTAGAAAGCGAAGGAAAAAATAGGACCACAAACATCAAATGCGAGGAAAATATTAATGTGCCCTCGCAATGTCAATAATGTGTTTGGCTGCTACCGTTTGGAGTGACTCAATGTTTGAAAACCAAAGCCTCTTTAAAACCGCCCTTCTGTGGCAATATGCAGTATATCTGGATTCAAACCCCCCTTGCCCTTTCCATTTTCTCTCTCTTTTCTGCGTGTTACGCTCATATTTCTCATCCTGTCACATACTTGCATCCCTAATCGTCGCTGGCTACCTCAGAGAGGATGAAGACACTAAAAACACCCTAATAAGACAAATCACCACATTGTTCATCAACATCATTACACAGACAGCACAAATCTTGCCTGTTCAGTGGAAACCTCTTCGTAATGCAGACGTGAATTCCATAGCTAGCTCATTATGACACCGTAATAACACCACCACCAGTGTTCCTTAGTTAGTCTGAATGGTAGCCAGCAGTGGAATAACCACAGGGGCAGCCTCGTCCAACGCTGCTGATAATCACAGAAAACCCAGAGAGCCCATTGGGGAAACCAGCCCCCAGAGCCACTAGGTTCCCAAATTAACTTTGTGGAAGCAAGGTCTCTAGGAGCTTCAAAACACAGGCAGGAGAGAATGGGGCTCTAATTTTTCCACTTATCCTGGAATGTGGCCTTCTCCAAGCCCAGTTTCTCTACACCGACCGCATATTTGCTGTTTGTTTTGACCACGCTCCCTGCGGGTGAAAAAAACGAATGGGGGGGGGGAGAAAAGAAGGAAAGAAAAAGCGATGGAAACACTTGCCGTCTGCCAGAACTGCATCAATTTCTTTTGAAACTATTCAGAGTGATGCAATGGGAGTGTTATTGGGTTTCACTGACAGGAAAACCGCAGCTACACACACACACACACACACACACACTCGCAGCTCAGTGTTGTGGGCGAGACACAGTAACAGACATCCAAAGCCTCTCCAAAGAGCCTGTGCTTTCAGACTGTTTCAGTGCCACTGTCTGAAGTCATCCACAAAAACAGAGTAGAACCGTAATGCAAGAACTACACACAGAAACACACAAGGGCATTTAACTTACTGTACTCAGGAACCCACATGCAACACAAAACCTATACACGTTATAGCAATGGGCCATGGCAACAACACATTTACAATGGAGGCCCTTGGTGGGGCCCCCATGCAGGCAGGGCTGGGCTTAAAGCTCTGTGGCGGTGGGGCCCCTGGGCAAGGCTCAAAGCAGTGTGGCGGCGGTCAGTCAAAGGAGCAGAGAGGAGGAAGTCATTAAAAGGTCAACAAGTATTTTTAAGACTTTATGATGTCATCTCAGAGCTGCAGACAGAGGAGAGGAATTTGTCTTGTGCCATTTTCAGTTTTGACCAAGAGCGTGTCGAGGAGGCCGAGCCCTGTCTCAGTCTGGTTCTGCCTGGTGTGACGTCTTTACAGGGTTTCACTTGTCTCTCCGGCTACTGGCAACCCCGTCAGCTAATTTATTCGAACAGAAATACTCATCTGCTCTGACTGAGCCTGCCTGGCCTGCTGCCAATCTAATGGTTTGTGTAAAATATAATGTATGGGACCAAACCCTTTGCATTGATTCAAAATGATTTTATGCATGTCCATTTCCTCCCTCCCGGTACAGCTTGGGAGAGCTGGGAAAAGTGGGACTTCAAAACGGGGACAGCTGCAATCAATTGGCTGGTTTCTCTGGCTACTGCCAGTGTTAATTGATAAATGTGGTAAAGCGAACCAAGCCCAACAGTTTCCTGCTTAGTTTTTATTTTTTTTATTTATGAAATTCAAGAGTGGAAACATTAAATGGTGGAGGAGAGACAGTGCAATATACTTTATGAGGCATGGAGTTTTTCACTGCTCTCATGCATGTATGCAATATCAAAGCACTTCCATACTTATTTGTAGGGCTCCTTAAATGTAGCGTTTTAATGTTTGGGTCCCTCCACCAATAAGAAGCTTCAGGGGGAAACTAACTAACATTACTGCCCTCCCAAAGGGCTTTCGTGGCAGCAGCTTCAGTTTTCCATCACTTTAGCTCTAGTATGGTATCCTTGACAAAGGGAATGGAGGAACTTCCTCTGGACACTAGAAAAACAACCTTTTTTTGGACCTGTCAAACAGTTTTATGGTTTAAAGTAGTTGGCTTTTATTTATTTCCATTTTGACCCAATTGAAAGTTGATTTCAAGACCACCTGAGTAATTCCATATGTATAAATGGTGTTCGTGATGAAACAAACTACCATCAGTCAGAGCTAAAGTAGACAAGTGGTTTGAAGTGAAACAAATGCATTGTATTCCTAAAACACATTGACAGGCCTACTTCTCATGTTGAATATGCCAAGTGTGTTAAAAGCCATATGGATCAATCAACTCTGACTATTAGCATCTATCGGCCAATGACTAGAGTGAGCGTCGTTAATGTCTATACAAATCTTGGCACAAAATCTTGGCCAAATCAATCCACGAGAGCAACTGTAACCTACATTCCACGAAGAGAGGATATTCCTGTAAGAGGAAATGTAGTTTTAGTGGCTAGAAACGCTAGCTGATTTATAAATTACCTGGCATTTGATTCATGGCCATACATTGTAATAAACGACATAAAACATTTCAACAGTTGAGACGACTAACAGTTGAGGTGCACATTTCTAGGCTATAACATACATATTCAAATATTTAGAACATGCGTATCAGTCAGCTGCACTGTATATTTCTTAGTTCCCTCATGGTCGCTGTTGTCATCATGTTGTAATTTACATGAAATAGAACATTGCTTTCAAGACAATGTTTCATTACTGAAATTCTATAGACCTCAAATTTAGTATATTTGTTTGCCAGAATCAATTTCATTCACAATGTTTTCAGATTTAGATCATAGCTAGAAACATTGTCTGTTTCTGAGTGACCATGTACAGTGAAGCCATGAATGCCTAGGTCTAGCCAGCTCAGACAGCAGTATAATACACTGTGTAGCCACTGGAAGGAGACAGACGGACATACAGAGACAGACGGACAGACAGACACAGACGGACGGACAGACTGAGACTGACAGACTGACTGACTGACGGACTGAGACTGACTGACTATCTTCGTCCCAAATGGCACACTATTCCCTATATAGTGCACTAGTTTTGACCAGAGCCCTATGGGCCCTAGTCAAAAGTAGTGCACTACGTAGGAAATAGGGTGCCATTTGGGACAAACAAATGATACAGCGATGTGAGAGAGGGAGGGAGCCACAGGTGTACAGTGTAGTACAGAACGGCCTTGCCTCGTCTTGACAGAGAATGATATATAATCCACCGCTTTCTGAAGGCTCTCGTCTGGTGCTGAGCTGAGGAGCAAAGGAAAAGGAAACCCACTTCCATGTCCCTGGTTGCATATATTTCAGAGGTTTTGAGTTCACCCTCCGTGACCCGCCGGCCGCCGATGCAAAAGAGAAGGAAGAGAGAGACCCAAACAAAACACACACGCTTCAGACGCTTCAGGAAACACCCGTTTTAATTCAAAAGGAAATACCTGTAGCAGACAGACAAAGTCGTAGAGAAAAGCAGTCAGAAGACTTTACAATTCAAATTAGTTTAAAAAAGGGATCATACATCGCCATTCATAGCGTTTCATGTCATTGAAACGAGTCCTGCAGAACCTCAACTGGACATTACTTTGGTTTCATACACTCAAAGAAAGACAGAGATATATTTACACATATACTTCTAGGACAGGGGCTGACGGGCCTTCTGGGGGCCCACAACCGCTTTGTTCTATTGTTCCTATTGGCAAGCTCCATCTCTGAACATACAGTATATTTTGTCACGGGGCTGTCTGAAGTGTCAAAGCATTAGTGGTTTGACTCTTATGCGCTGCTACAAGGGCAGCAACATAGACGGAAATGGGCTTTCCTGCCCAGTCCAGATTTGAGGGGCCGTTTGAAACCAAACATATTTTTACTGTCTCAGTTTCACTGAAGAGAGAAAGAGATTATGGCTGCGTGGTTGATGTTCTCTTAGCTTGGACAAATACTAACAGGACTCTGACAAATCCAGTACTAAACATGAGGATAATGTATATGATGTCAGGCACCTGATTTGATTATTCCGTCAGGGATAGCTGTCAGGGGACATGGGAGGAGACTGGGAAGCGTCTTAAATACATGATCCATATAGCTCAAATATAGCCCTATGTGGGCTCTGGTCAAAAGTAGTGCACTATATAGGGAATAGGATGCCATTTGAGATGCAACCAAGGTATCCATATTCCCTATATAGTGCACCACTTTTGTCAAACTACTCTGGTCATAAGTAGTGTACTATATAGGGAATAGCATGTAATTTGAGTTAAAAGGTATCCCTATATACTGTAGTGCACTGCTTTTGTCAAACTGCTCTGGTCAAAAGTAGTGCACTATATAGGGAATAGGGTGTGATTTGAGATGTGACCGAGGTGGTTTAGGTGAAGAGGCGGATGGTGGCGTCGGCCCCTGAGGAGAAGACCCAGGGCTGGGTGGGGTGGAAGGTCACGTCTAGGACCCCCAGGTCGTGGGTGATCTGGTGACCCTTCAGTACCTTGACTGGAACAATGAGAGGGTTCTGGAGCAGGTCACTGTAAAGAAAGAAAGAAAGAAAGAAAGACGAGAGAGAGAAAGATTGATAGAGTTATGACATCAGAACAGTGCAGAAGATGGAATACAGACAATATTCTAAAGTATTCCTAAAGTTATTTTCTTCTTCATTTAAAACCTGTTGATGGTTATACAGCCGAAATAAAATGTACAATACAGGAAATATGGTTTGTAGGATATGCATCAACATTTCGGCGAGTTGGAGAAGGAACGCGCCGGGAAAAACAACATTACATCTTTGGTTTGAATATAAATAGATCTAGTAGAGGGAGACTGATGAAGGGGTTGGATCCAGAGTTGTGTTGCCCTCAACCGGACACGCTTCATTACCCTTACTCAAGGAGCTTTTTATGACCTAACTGGCTCTATGGTTCTGGATACGTGCTGGAGGAAAGACCAAAAAGGGTTCAGATATGGTGAAAGAGAGAGAGACGAAAGAGGAAAAGAGAGATGAGACAGATGAGAGAGAAAAGGTGTAATATCGCAGTGGAAGGTGTGATGAGTGACTTGTAGAGAGAGAGAATGACTCACAGGAAAGGAGAGATGGTGATAGACATGAGAGAGACGGTGAAGGGGAGAGGTGTAATATTGTATTGGTACAGTAGGTGTGATAGCGAGAGGTGACTTACTTGTAGACCATGCCGTGGCAGACGATCACGCTGCCGTCATCAGCACCAGAGGCGAATAGGGGGTAGTTTCTGTGATAAGCCACGCCCCTCAAGGCCTTCTTGTGATGCCTGGGTCACCAAAATAGACAACAGACTTCAGAACCAATAAAAAACAGGCCTTATGAATTACTATCTTGTCACATGGTCAACAACTATTATTCATTAGCAATCAATAATTATAAATGAGAATGTATAGTGGTGCCTCACCGCAGCATCTTGTAGGGTTTGGTGGAGAGGTCTAGATCAAACCAGGCCAGTCTGCAGTCATAGCTGCCACAGATCAGGTTATCACCTGACCAGGAGTAGCGTTAGTATAGAAAACATTTATACACTCATATCGGACTACTCTATCGATCATATGACCACCTTCCTCCTCTTGAGAAGGAACATCAAATCAAACCTTATTGAAAGTGCATTTAGCCATCTCCACAGACTTTACAGTACAACATACTCTCTTTTCTGAGGGGGACCTGTGACAGAGCGCTGCACTAACCTCCAGGGTGAATGGCCATGCTTGAGATCCACTTGCAGTTGGTCATCAGCTTCTTGGTCAGCTCTTGCTTGATGAGGTTGTAGACGCGCACGTAGCGCTGCGTGGCCACGAAGAAGTAGGGCCGCAGCGGGTGGAAGGAGACGCACTGCACCAGGCCCTTGTTCTTGCGGAAGGGGTTCTGCGTCCGCCGCTTGCTCACCTGGTGGATCAGCACCTGCAGGTTGCTGCTGTTGTCAGGCATGACGCTGGCCAGGTAGTCACCCTTACCGTGCCAAACCACCTGCTTTACTGCCTGGAGGAGGAAGGGGAGGGAGGAAGGGGAGGGAGGGGAAGGAGGGAGAGGGAGGGAGAGGGGAGGGAGAGGGAGGGAGAGGGGAGGGAGAGGGAGGGGAGGGGAGGGAGGGGAAGGAGGGAGGAAGGGAGAGGGAGGAAGGAAGGGGAAGGGGAGGGAGGGAGAGGGAGGGAGAGGGGAGGGGAGGGAGGAGGGAGAGGGGAGGGAGGGAGAGGGGAGGGAGGGAGAGGGAGGGAGAGGGGAGGGGGAGGGAGGGAGAGGGGAGGGAGGGAGAGGGAGGGAGAGGGGAGGGAGGGAGAGGGAGGAAGGAAGGGGAAGGAGGGAGAGGAGAGGGAGAGGGGAGGGAGGGAGAGGAGAGGGAGAGGGGAGGGAGGGAGAGGGGTGGGAGAGGGGGAGGGAGGGAGAGGGGCGGGAGGGAGAGGGGAGGGAGAGAGGAGGGAGATGAAGAGAGGAGAGAAAGGAAGAGGAGGATTTAAGCATGATTCAATATTAATTGTATTATCACAATTCAAAACAACATTTATATTACTGTTATTACTATACAGTACTATTATTATTACTACAGTAATACATTATAGTTTTAATACATATTTTTATAGTACACCTAGGACTACAGCTAAGGTAAAGTACAGACACTTGAAAATATGGGTGGTAGCTAGTATTACTATTGCAGGCTTTCCAAATGCCATGTGCATCTGTGGCAATTTTCCACTCCATTTTAATTACAAAAACTAGAAAGCTCTTCTCTTATGTTTCTTTCAGTTTACTTGAGGAAAAAGTCTAACCACAATCTGCTCTGGTTTTGCCAATCCTTAAAAACCACAAAGCTACAGCTGTTGAACTAAAAAGGGTTGCTGGGGTAATGCCAAAAAATATGACTGAATGTCATCATAGGGTTCCCAGTATCTCCATTTGAGTGTTTGTCTTCTTCGCTATGGCCCCAACATTCTGAGTTACCTGTGGCCTTAAAGGGGTAATCTGGGATTCAAACAACAAAGCAGTCACCCCACCACTTTTCTGGCAACCAGCTGAGGGATAGGGCTAGAGAAATGTAACCACTCTCAAATTCATGGAGCTATGGATGCAAGCACTGACCACTGCGTTGGGATGACCTTACCTAAGAGGAGTGAGGATGAATGGAGGAGTATGGGAAGGCTTACCTTAGGGTGGGTGAGGGTTAGTCTGAGAGGGAGGGGTAGTGTGTTTTACCTTAGGGTGGGTGAGGGTTAGTCTGAGAGGGTGGTAGTGTGTCTTACCTTAGGGTGGGTGAGGGTTAGTCTGAGAGGAGGGGTAGTGTGTCTTACCTTAGGGTGGTGAGGGTTAGTCTGAGAGGGAGGGGTAGTGTGTCTTACCTTAGGGTGGGTGAGGGTTAGTCTGAGAGGGAGGGGTAGTGTGTCTTACCTTAGGGTGGGTGAGGGTTAGTCTGAGAGGGAGGGGTAGTGTGTCTTACCTTAGAGTGGGTGAGGGTTAGTCTGAGAGGGAGGGGTAGTGTGTCTTACCTTAGAGTGGGTGAGGGGAAGTCTGAGAGGGAGTGGTAGTGTGTCCTTACCTTTAGAGTGGTGGGTTAGGTGTATTACTTCGGTGGGTGAGGGGAAGTTGCGAGGGAGGTAGTGTGTCTTACCTTAGGGTGGGTGAGGGGAAGTTTGAGAGGGTAGGTTCAGGACTATTACCTTCGGGTGGGTGAGTGTGAGGCGGTGGCCCTTGTTGTGCTCCGGGCCCTCAGACAGAGCCCAGGTGACGGCCTGCTCCTTGTCCTCCTCTGGGGGCTGGTAGGAGGTGATCAGCTGGTCTGTGGAGCTCACCACCAGCCTGTCTCCCAAAGCTGGGTTCAACAGCAGCACTGTACTCTCACTGAGGAAGACAGAGAGGGAGGGGGAGAGAGCGAGAGACCGACAGAGAGGGAGAGGGAGAGAGCGAGAGACCGACAGAGAGAGAGCGAGGGAGACACAGAGAGAGAGACACACAGAGAGAGAGACACACACACAGAGGGAGAGACAGAGAGAGAGAGACAGAGAGAGACACAGTCAGAATGACACTGGACCCTACAGGATTGTCTACAAATTAGGTTGCTAACATCAGGATAATGTCAACAAGCCAGTAAAGAGGACAAGTCCTCTCAAAGTTGACAGTGGCATCAGTAGTACCGCATACTAACAATTATAAACTGGTTGCAGTGGTTATTGGTTAACCTCGGACACTACACTATAAATGAATTCTGTCTGTCAACACATACAGTATGTTCAGTGATGAAGACAGAGAACTCAAAACAGAGGAAAGAGGGGGGAAGGATTTTAAGAGAGCACCCATTAGGAGGAAAGAGACTGTATGAGGAGACTTACAAGCACACGGCCACCAGGCAGACGGCCGGGTTGGGGTTCCATGCCACGCTCTTCACAGCTCCGCCCACCTCCAGAGTCTTCATGCAGCGCCCCGTGTTGACCTCCCAGAAGCGCACCGTGCAGTCGTCTGAGCCTGGAGGGAGAGAGAGGGTCAAATGTCAGACTACAGAGTTAACAGGGGGCCCTTAACAGCAGTGTGTGTGTGAGAGAATGCGTGTGTGAGACTGTGTGCGTGTGCTCGTACATGCATCACAATCACACTTGCGCCAGTCAGTGAGTAAGCTGGTCAGCCCAGCCCCAGCGGCAGCAGGTGTGGTCTCCGGACACCACGCCTCGTTGAGTTACCACAGCGTGAAAGTCTTAAAGTGGCTCATAAAGAAACTGGGAGAGCTCTGAGCTAGCAGGCTGACTAACCTTAACCTATATGAGAGGGGAGCAGAAACTAATGGTGGAGGAGTAGGAGGGAGTACAGGGGGTTTAGAGGAGAGCAGAGGGGAGAGTAGAAGGGGAGCAGAGCAGGAGGGGTGGGGGGGGGGGGGGGGGGGGGGGCTGGTTCGTGTCACTACTAGGCAGGGGTTTAGAGGTTAGTTGATGGGGAGGCTGTGTTGATGAATAATAATGTGATACACAGTAAGTGGAAAGAGTGCAGATATAACTTAAGGGTAATGTAGCATATCTTTATATATCAAAAATAGAATACACACCTATTCAATACATTATCAATTAACTTGTGTGTCTGTGTGGTTCAGATGCGTTAAAGGTTATCCGTGTGTGAATAATACACATCATAAGTAGCCAGATGCGTCGGGACAGATTTCCTGGCAAGCCCACTGCTCATCAGCTGAGTGAAATCTCTCACTCACTCACTCACTCACAATGTGTGCATCCCCAAATGGCACCCTATTCCCTATATAGTGCACTACTTTTGACCAGAGTCCATAGGGCCACAGCCAATGACACATCACAGACCTCTCTGGACTCACTAACTAACTAATGCCTTCTGGGAGCGCATGCCTTCTGGGAGCGCATGCAGTATCACCGACTAGCACTGCCAAAGGATCCTTTGAATTTCACAGGCTTTTTCTCTGCCATTATACCTCTATAGGCTCCATCTATATGTTATGGACATGGAGCAGTCATATTTCTAGGGTCTTTGGCAACCTCCTGTATTGGTCTGATTTTGTGTTTTGGTTTGCCATCACACCTCTATTATTAGCCACGGAGCAGTGAGATTTCTAGACCTTTCTTTTGGACAATACTTTGGCATGAAATAACTCCAGCGTCCGTTGGTCTTCCCTTTCCTGTTGAGGTTGGTTTGAGAAAGAAAGAGTAAGGTCCTAATCAGAACCACAGGAGCCAATCTCTCTTTACTGCTGGCACACAATAAGGAAATCTAGGAATTTCGCAGGCACTACGCAAACCAACCACGTTCGATAACACCACCAACGCTCTACCGCTCCAACTTAAGAGTGAGAGGTAGTAGTAGTAAAATAATAGTCTTATTTTAACTTCTATACATGAACGCTCCATAAACGCAAGAAAAACACAGGGAAAAAAACACCTCCTGGACGGTGGGTGGAGTGTAATAATTTGAAAAACCATAATCCCATTTTAAGTATTGACCTCTGTGGCGGCGACGGATATAGAACTTGTGGGACAGGCCCGACCCAGCCGTGAGGTTGAATCCCGGGCTGCTGGCGGTTTAGAGACAGAGAGTGAGAGAGAAACCCGTCCGTCTGGCAACACATAGCTGCACTCAGGCTGTGCAAATACAACTGGCTGATTGGCCGAAGGGTCAAGTGAGTCGCGTGTGGACACTGCCGTTGGAAAGGAATCACTTGTGTATGAGGAGGTCTAGAACTGTGAAACTGTGGTAAGAACTCAGAACTATGCTGTTCCTTTTCTATTGAGGGGACTTCCTTAATTCTAGGTCAATTTCAATGGTTTACCCTGAAATACATAACTGGGGCAGATCCAGGAGTTTGGTGTGTGCTTACTCGCCTACTTGAGAATCCGACAAGCAGAACGTTTTTATGTCAATCTGACATAAATATAAGGCAGTGTCACTGGACAGGATGAGAGAATTTAGCAAATTTAGAGAATAAAAATTGAAACGGACACATGGTTTGTAACCTCAGAGCACAGTTCAAGGCTCAGTTGTCGTGGGCAAACAACAATGTAAGTCAACAGACTGGAGCAGCGCTATTGGTCAGCACGTTCAACTGAGGCTCCAGGGGGAGGTACTTTGATGGACTGGGGACTTTCTAGGGCACCTTGGTTTGAAAGCCCAGGTAGTAACAGCATTATACTCTGGCTTTCTAGGACCAAACAAAAACACACAGCTGATTCAATATTCAAATTATGATTGCAGATTATGGCCTAAATATTAACCCTGTAATGGCAATAAGAAAAAGCGGAGGCCAACACAATGGTGACCATCTGTGTGAGCACCGAATGACACAGTCAACCAACTGTCACAAAAGCATGTCCCTAAGTTTATGGTAGGTAGCCTCTTGGTAGTGGTAGTGTTGTTGCTCTCTGGTTTACAGGGCTGTGTTCTTCCTGTTGTGGAGTGAGCGAGACAGCGAGAGAGAGAGAGAGCGCGAGCGAGCAAGAGAGAGAGAGCGAGCGCCAGAGACCAGCTAGTGGAATTCACCTAACCTTTGTGTATCTGTGATGTCACAGGTCTTCAAATCAAATCACATTTTATTTGCCACATGAACCGAATACAATTCACCTTACAGTGAAATGCTTACTTACAAGCCCTTAACCAACAATGCAGTTTAAAAAAGCAAATAATGAAAGAGTAAAATAACAGTAGGGAGGCTATATACAGGGGGGTACTGGTACAGAGTCAATGTGAAATAACAGTAGGGAGGCTATATACAGGGGGGTACTGGTACAGAGTAAATGTGAAATAACAGTAGGGAGGCTATATACAGGGGGGTACTGGTACAGAGTAAATGTGAAATAACAGTAGGGAGTTAGGGGGGTAGGCTATATAACAGGAGGCTATCTCAGGGGGGTACTGGTACAGAGTCAATGTGAAATAACAGTAGGGAGGCTATATACAGGGGGGTACTGGTACAGAGTCAATGTGAAATAACAGTAGGGAGGCTATATACAGGGGGGTACTGGTACAGAGTCAATGTGAAATAACAGTAGGGAGGCTATATACAGGGGGGTACTGGTACAGAGTCAATGTGAAATAACAGTAGGGAGGCTATATACAGGGGGGTACTGGTACAGAGTCAATGTGAAATAACAGTAGGGAGGCTATATACGGGGGTGGTACTGGTACAGAGTCAATGTGAAATACAGTAGGGAGGCTATATACAGGGGGTAATGGTACAGAGTCAATGTGAATAACAGTAGGGAGGCTATATACAGGGGGGTACTGGTACAGAGTCAATGTGAAATAACAGTAGGGAGGCTATATACTGGGGGGTACTGGTACAGAGTCACATGTGAAATAACAGTAGGGAGGCTATATACAGGGGGGTACTGGTACAGAGTCAATGTGAAATAACAGTAGGGAGGCTATATACAGGGGGGTACCGGTACAGAGTCAATGTGAAATAACAGTAGGGAGGCTATATACAGGGGGGGGTACCGGTACAGAGTCAATGTGAAATAACAGTAGGGAGGCTATATACAGCGGGGTACCGGTACAGAGTCAATGTGAAATAACAGTAGGGAGGCTATATACAGGGGGGTACCGGTACAGAGTCAATGTGCCGGGGGCACCGGTTAGTCCAGGTAATTTAGGTAATATGTACATGTGGGTAGAGTTAAAGTGACTAAACATAGATAATAAACAGAGTAGCAGCAGCGTAAAAGAGGGGGTGGGGGGGCAATGCAAATAGTCCGGGTAGCCATGATTAGCTGTTCAGGAGTCTTATGGCTTGGGGGTAGAAGCTGTTAAGAAGCCTTTTGGACCTAGACTTGGCGCTCCGGTACCGCTTGCCGTGCGGTAGCAGAGAGAACAGTCTATGACTAGGGTGGCTGGAGTCTGACAATTTCAAGACAAAGTATACGGGACCATCTCAGGTCCTTCCATAAAAAGCTGGTGACATTCCAATCCCGGCCGGCGTGTGGAGGGAGGAATTCCGTCCTTCCCAGTTCTCCCCACCAGGGAAGGGTTGAAGGTTGAGGGTTCAGCCCTAGTCAGAATTCAGAGGGAACGGCGCCTGCCGGGTGGAGGCTAGAGCGGGAGGAGCTGCCACCGCACCACGCAACCCATTGTTAGTAGGGAATGTGGAGCCAGGAACACCAGAACCCCAGTTTGTTTACTGCTGGGAGTGTGGGTGTGAATATACAGTCAAGCCCCAGTCCAACCCAGGATGCTCAGTACAATTTACTGTTTGTGTCCCAAATGGTACCCTATTCCCTACGTAGTGCACTACTTTTGACCAGAGCCCTATGGGTGCCATTTGGGACGCTGCCTGTAACTGTCGTGAAAAATAAGCAGCATTATAAAGTCTATAAAACTAATTTCAGTCCTGAGAGAATGCTCGGAGTGGGGTAGGTCATCATCATGTTTTACAGGTTTGGACGTCCCCAGACAGACAGTCCCCTATTTAGAGACAGGGCAGGTCAAAGTAACAGTCATTATTAAAAAGCACCACACACTGATATGGAATGAAATATCTATGAACCAGCACACAATAGGAAAACAAACTGGTGGGGGGTGAGGGTGGCTGCAATTCCTGGGAGGTTGTCAACTGCCATTTTTACTGTGGGAAAGAGGGTTTTACGACTGGTTTAATATATTTTACTGCAAGACAAAATAGTGGCACTGACTGTAGTGGTTTTGCATATGGGCCTTTATGAAATCCTTTGTTATGGACAGCTTAACAGATATTGACATTAAATTGCTGCCAGGCAGCCTCGTTCACTCATTCCCTCCTTCCTTCCTTCTTCACCTCCATCTCCTCTGTCTTTCTCTGACTAGACCACGTCACCTCTCTCCCCATCCCCCTCCCTCTCTGAGGGCCTGTTACAGCTGTGAACGGAAAATGAATCAAAACAGGTGTAATTGCCTGTAGGCTATTGACCAGGCTTTTCAGGGTTTAAATTAAACTACATATCATACAGTAATAATAACAGGACAGTATGTCTCTATGGCTTGGGGAATAGGATTCCCATGCCTGTCGTAGTAGAGTAAGGCCAGGGAAAGAAGCCTTTTTTTCTTTCTATTTTTTACATGTGACCATTTTAGGTTATTTATTTTTTATGCACAAATGATCAATACGTCCTGCTCTTTTCATACTGTACAATACCTACAATACTTGCAATAATCCATCCTATTCAGACTAAGATAGGCCTTTGTCCTGGTGCGGAGTAAATAGCTTAAATAGCCAGGCATACAGTTATACTGCACGCCTGTGGAAAGACAAAGCCACCTTCGTTTTATATGAGCAAGGCCCTTACTTCATATCTGACAGTGTGCCCCAGGGCCAGACAATATTAAACTGATGGAAACTATACAACACTGAGTGCGCAATCTACAGACACTCCTTCTGTCACGACTTCCGCCGAGGCTGCCTCCCCTCCTTGTTCGGGCAGGTTTCGGCGTTCGGCATCACCGGCTTACTGCCGATCCATTTATCATCACTCCATTTGTCTAATCTTCAATCACACACACCTGGTCCTTATTCCCTCATTAGTCATGGTACAAGTGTTCCCTCTGCTTCCTTGTCTGTGTGGGTGATTGTTTATTGTGGAGGTTTGTGTAGTTCGGTGGAGCTCGTGTATTGTGTATCGACGGGAGTATTCTCCCGTGTGCCTTGTATTTTCCAGTGCGCCTGTTTTGTGCCCTGGAGTGTGTTTGACGCATTTCTGCGTAATCCTGTATTTTGCGGATTAAAGCCTATTATTCTGTGACTTACCCTCCTGCGCCTGACTTTTTCAACACCACCTCATCACAGAATCACCCACCCGAGTATGTAGTCAGCGGGATACACACAGATGCCTGGAGTCGTGGAACGGGTCCAGGAGCATTCACCCATGCTAGCCAGCTTGGGTGAAGCGATGGGTTGGCTTATTCAGGTCGTCCAACGCCTGGAGAGGAGCGAGCCCGATCCGTCGAGACCAGCTGGTCAACCGGATCCCGCCACCTACACCCCAGCACGCGGAGGGATCCAGATATCCCGACCAGGGGAGTTCGACGGGACAGCGGCGCTGTGCCAAGGATTTCTTCTCCAACTGGAGCTCTACTTCTCCAGCATCCGGCCGGTTCCATCGGGCGGGAGAAGGTGTCCGCCCTCGTCTCCTGCCTCTCGGGGAAAGCCCTGGAGTGGGCCAACGCGGTGTGGAACGAAGGAGGAGCCGCGTTGGAGAACTACGGGGAGTTCGCTCGCCTCTTCCGGGCGGTCTTCGATCACCCGCCCGAGGGTCGAGAGGCGGGCGAGCGGCTGGTCCACCTGAGGCAGGGGACGAGGACTGCGCAGGACTTCGCATTGGAGTTTCGAACTCTGGCAGCTGGATACGGGTGGAATGAGCGGGTCCTGATCGACCAGTTCCGGTGCCATCTGCGAGAGGACGTCCGACGGGAGCTAGCCTGCCGTGACACCATGTTGTCCTTCTCGCAACTGGTGGAAATGGCCATTCGTTTGGACAACCTGCTGGTAACCAGAGGACGTCCTGGAGGAGGTCTGCCCGTTTCCATCCTGGCCGACTCGGATCCAGAACTGATGGAGATGGGTGGAACCGCTAGCCGAGAGAGCGGAGGACAACAGTGCCAGTGCCACACTGGTGGCGTAAAGGGACATTACACCACACGTTGTCGTCAACGCTCTTCTGGGTTTAGAGGCGGCAGGCAGGGCACTCTCGCATCACCCCAGGTATCGAACACCCACACTCGTTCAGAGCCCTCTGCTGTGCACTGTAAAATATTTGTCTCCTTTCCTGAGCACATGGATGTTCCCCAGTGTAAGGCGCTAGTCGATTCAGGCACAGCTGGGAATGTTATGGACAAGGCATTCGCACACCATATAGGCATTCCATTGATTCCCCTATCAATTCCACGCCCCATCAGAGCACTTGATAGTCGACCATTAGGGTCCGGGTTGGTTAAGGAAGTTACTGCACCAGTCACCATGATTACCCAGGAGACTCATTGTGAGCAGGTAACTTTTTCCATTATTGAGTCTCCTGCTTTCCCTGTGGTATTAGGTATCCCTTGGCGAGCACTCCACAACCCCACCTTCTCATGGCCGCAGAGGGTTCTCACGGGGTGGTCGCGAGAGTGTCAGGGTAGGTGTCTAGGTGTTTCCGTTGGTGCAACCACGGTGGAAAGTCCAGACAGTACCTCCACCGTGCGCATTCCTCCTGAATACCTCGATCTGGCGCAAGCGTTCTCTAAAACGCAGGCGACTAAATTACCACCTCATCGGGCGGGGGATTATAATATAATAAATAATGCCATTTAGCAGACGCTTTTATCCAAAGCGACTTACAGTCATGTGTGCATACATTTTTACGTATGGGTGGTCCCGGGGATCGAACCCACTACCCTGGTGTTACAAGCGCCATGCTCTACCAATTGAGCTACAGAGGACCAGGGATTGCGCGATAAACCTCTGGGTAGACGCTGTACCTCCCAGGAGTCATATATACCCCCTGCCACAGGCTGAAACGGTGGCTATGGAAACATATGTTACCGAGTCCCTGCGCCAGGGGTATATTCGTCCCTCCACTTCACCCGCCTCCGAGTTTCTTCTTTGTGAAGAAGAAGGATGGAGGTCTGTGCCTGTGCATTGATTATCAACCACTGAACAGGGAGACGATAAGATTTAGTTATCCTCTCCCCCTCATTCCTTCAGTGAATGAATCAATGCATGGGGCGCGCTTCTTCACCAAATTAGATCTCAGGAGTGCGTACAACCTGGTGCGTATCCGAGAGGGAGATGAGTGGAAGACAGCGTTCAGCACAACCGCGGGGGCATTATGAATACCTGGTGATGCCCTATGGTTTGATGAATGCTCCCTCAATTTTCCAGTCCTTTGTGAACAAGGTGTTTTTTCAGCCTTGTCCGAGCCTTGACCGTGTGGAGGCATTGGCTCGAGTGGGCAAAACACCCATTCCTCGTCTGGACGGACCACCGTAACCTGGAGTACATCCGGGCAGCGAGGAGGCTTAATCCTCGCCAGGCCAGGTGGGCCCTATTCTTCACCCGGTTTGATTTCACTCTATCATACATCCCGGGTATGAAGAACGTGAAGGCAGACGCGCTGTCCCGGCTGTATGACACAGAGGAGAGGCCCAGAGACAACACTCCCATACTGCCGGCTTCCTGCATTGTGGCGCCGGTAATATGGGCGATGGACACAGATATAGAGCAGGCATTACGCACGGATCCCTCTCCACCTCAGTGTCCAGATCGGCTACAGGACGTGGCTGCTCTTATCCGTGATCGTCTGATCTACTGGGCACACACGTCACCCTCCTCTGGTCACCCAGGTATCGGCCGTACAGTGCGCTGCCTGACCGGAATATACTGGTGGCCTACCTTGGCTAAGGACGTGAGGGTGTATGTCTCCTCCTGCTCAGTGTGCGCCCAGAGTAAGGCACCTAGGCACCTCCCAGCTGGTAAGTTACAACCTTTACCAGTTCCACAACGACCATGGTCTCACCTGAGTGTTAATTTTCTAACTGATCTTCCTCTCTCCCAAGGTAACACCATGATCCTGGTCGTTGTGGACCGCTTTTCTAAAGCCTGCCGCCTCTGCCCGGTCTCCCCACGGCTCTGCAAACTGCTCTGTTTACACACGTCTTCCGGCACTACGGGGTACCAGAGGATATAGTGTCTGACCGAGGTCCCCAGTTCACATCCAAGGTCTGGAAGGCGTTCATGGAACGTCTGGGGGTCTCGGTCAGCCTGACCTCTGGGTTCAACCCTGAGAGTAATGGGCAGGTGGAACGGGTAAATCAGGACGTGGGTAGGTTCATGCGGTCCTACTGCCAGGACCGGCCGGGGGAGTGGTCGGTGTTCTTGCCATGGGCAGAATATGCCCAGAACTCTGTCCGCCACTCCTCCACTAACCTAACGCCTTTCCAGTGTATTCTAGGCTACCAACCGGTTCTGGCACCGTGGCACCAGAGCCAGACTGAGGCTCCTGCAGTGGATGACTGGTTTCGGCGCGCGGAGGAGACGTGGGATGCTGCCCACGTTCACCTCCAACTCGCCGTGCGTTGTCAGAAGGCCAACGCTGACCGCCACCGCAGTGAGGCCCCTGTCTTTGTACCGGGGGATCGGGTCTGGCTCTCGACCCGGAATCTGCCCCTCCGCCTGCCCTGCCGGAAGCTGAGCCCGCGGTTTTTGGGGCCGTTCAAAGTCCTGAGGAGAGTCAACGAGGTCACTTATAGGTTATTACTTCCCCCTGATTACCATATTAACCCCTCGTTTCAGGTGTCTCTCCTCAGGCCGGTGGTAGCTGGTCCGCTCCAGGAGGCTGAGGTGCGGGAGGTCCCTCTACCTCCTCTGGACATCGAGGGGGCCCCGGCGTACTCTGTCCGTTCCATCCTGGATTCGAGGCGTCGGGTGGGGAGGGCCTTCAGTACCTCGTGGAGTGGGATGGGTACGGTCCGGAGGAACGGTGCTGGGTTCCGGTGAGGGATATCCTCGATCCCTCCATGTTACGGGATTTCCACCGTCGCCAACCGGCTCGCCCTGCTCCGCGTCCTCCTGGCTGTCCCCGAGGCCGGCGCGCTGCTGGAGCCGCGCGTCAAGGGATGGGGGTACTGTCAGGACTTCCGCCGAGGCTGCCTCCCCTCCTTGTTCGGGCAGGTTTCGGCGTTCGGCGTCACCGGCTTACTAGCTACTGCCAATCCATTTATCATCACTCCATTTGTCTTGTCTTCAAATCACACACACACACCTGGTCCTTATTCCCTCATTAGTCATGGTATAAGTGTTCCCTATGCTTCCTTGTCTGTGTGGGTGATTTGTTTATTGTGGAGGTTTGTGTAGCTCGGTGGAGCTCGTGTATTGTGTATCGACGGGAGTATTCTCCCGTGTGCCTTGTATTTTCCAGTGCGCCTGTTTTGTGCCCTGGAGTGTGTTTGACGCATTTCTGCGTAATCCTGTATTTTGCGGATTAAAGCCTATTATTCTGTGATTTACCCTCCTGCACCTGACTTCTTCAACACCACCTCATCACACCTTCCCTAACCTCACCTCCATGTTATTAAATTAACTTCTATGTATATCAAGTTTTACTGCTTTGAATGGTACACATCATTTTCCTGGTAAGAATCTTCAGTCAATGTGACGTGCATAATTACATTGCTTCTGTTCTGCCTGCTACCCTTCATCACAGAGAGCAAAACCACTAGGGATGATTTTCTACATAGCACCAACATTAATAACCAAAGTAAAGTTGTGGCCTATTGTTCTCTGCCTGACTGTGGCTGTGGAGAAAAGACAGGCAGCCAGAAGCTATAAAAGACTAAGATAATTTGCGTCTTGGATGGATGAAGGGAAAGGAGACACACTACGAGATCTGTGATTGATTTATTCTCCTAGACGTGTTCCAGTAAGTATGGCCGACTAGCTGCAGAGCCTAAATGCAGCTGTGCTCATCTACTGCTCTGTAAACCCTGGATTCTTTCCAGCCTTGCTCTGTCTCTCTGACGCGCCAGCCAGCCCCAGCCCCAGGATGGGTCACTTATCTTACGGTACACATCTCAGCACTGCCTGGAGCACACAGCCATTATGACATCATGGCTCAAGCTTTGGGGGATGATTTAAGCAGTCAGTTAGCTACTGACTCAGAAAGACGCAAAATAAAGAAAATGAGTGCCAGGGAGACAGTTAGCTACTGACTAAGAAAATGGCACACTGAAGAGCTAGCCAAACAGCAGCAGAGTCAGAGACGTTACTACATCACATTAAAGATGACTAATGAGTTAACACATACCTGAGACCAGCCATTGGCCAGTGGGAGACGCACTGATAGAGCGCACCAGACTTGTGTGGCCACGGTACACCTGTTGAGAGGACACATCATTAAGTTCATGATTTGTGCCCACTTAACATACATTTTTAGGCCCATCGCCCCATGAGGTACATTTCCAATAAATTCAGATTCAGTGGTTGACCTACCAGAGACATAGTGGTGGGGAAGGGCTGCAGGTCCTTGGGTTTGGGCAGCTTGGGGATCAGATCTTCTGGATTCACATTCACCTGTGGAGACCAATTGAGATGAATAGAGTTGAGTCACGATGGAGAATTACCTAATTGATCTGACAATATAGGGGTCCTTCTAAATGAGCCACATAGCTTTACTTATGAGTATCTTCAAATCAAATATTTGCATAATGCACACCAACAAAGTCCCTCTATTATAAAAATGATACCGGCAAATGGTTAACTATTAACTATTTAGCTAGACATTCAGGCGGGGTCTCTAGTCTCACCCTCATCTTGCGCTGGCGGGGGCACAGGTAAAGGTCAAGGCAGCGTTCGAAGCGCTCGTGGATGAAGCGGGAGAAGGCGGGCACGGCCCTCAGACAGGAGTGTTTCTGGGGGAGGAACGGGAGCTTCCTGTCCTCTGTATCCTGCTGCTCCCACGCCAGTCTCTGACAGGGGGAGGAAGAACCAATGGTTAGTCTGAAACTGTTGACTGGTCTGTATACTGGTTAATGATTGGTCTGTATACTAATGACTGGTTGATAAGTTATGAATGATTGGTCTTTATACTGTAGCTAATGAGGGACTAACGAAATGTTACAGTTGATCTATGCTACAGAGTTGTGCTACTATGCCTACAGTATATAGTGCAAGCCAATTTACTATAGACAAAGTTAAGGTATTTCAAGAGTGGGACTTCAACTATAATGATATAGGTTGTTATCAATAAAACGTCACCATAAGGTGCAAAGCGTTCAATTTGCCTGCTGGGGGGTTTGGAGATCCCCTGCTCCGTGAAAACCATTGACTGCTTGCTTTTCATGATCAGTAAACATCAATTGATCATGTAATTTCAGATACGTGAGGATAGCCTCACGATCTCTCTCAATATTAGCCACCATCAATTAGATATTGAGTGATATCAAATAAAAGTGAATTATACCTGAGTGGTTTAGATTAATTTCCCATCCTTTGTGGCATCTGCCTGTAAAGCTGCAGAAAGGCGCATTTGCCGATGTACTGTTAGCTGATAATGTTAGCTACCGGTATAAACTTTGTACAGTTGGCTTAACATAGTGGTAAGTAGACCTAATGTATTTTTTTCTCCAACCAATGTAGGCCTACCTAGTGAAGTTAGCTAACATTATCAACATTGTTTTTAATAGTGTTTAATCATGATTGCTGCTGACAGACATGATAGGCTACATTGATGGACCACATTAAATTGGCTGCTAGCTAATAACAGATCACGTCAATATGGCTTGTTAACTAGCCAACTTTCAGTGGATAAACTAGATTACATTTTACATTTTTGTCATTTAGCAGACGCTCTTATCCAGAGCGACTTACAGTTAGTGACTTACTTACCATGGGTCTCCCGGTCGCGGCCGGCTACGACAGAGCCTGGATTCGAACCAGGATCTCTAGTGGCACAGCGATGCAGTGCCTTAGACCACTGCGCCACTCGGGAGGTGGCTATATTGAAATTGTTTGAGTTGCTTGCCATCTATAGTGGTGATGACAGTAGTCCGACTGACAACTTTACCAGGACAACGATTTTCCGTTGTCAAACTCTTCCCAAAAACCTCATCTCTGATGAAGCAAGCTAAATGACACAATGTTTGCTAGCTAGCTAGCTACATGCCAAATGGATAGGCTACCCTCACGTATCTGAAAAAACATGGTCAATTGATGTTTAATGATCATGAAAAGCATGCAGTTACTTGCTGTATAACTCTGATAGAGCTAACTGTGGAATAACCCGAAATGTGTAGTTCTGACTATGGTGATGATATTAAAGCCAAATAGTTGTAACATCTATTTACCAGTCCCTTGAAAACGGCACAGTTGTCAAATCGAACGCTCTGCACCATATTGTGACGTTTTATTGATAACGACTTATACTATAACAAAGACTATGAACCCCATGGTTATTCACATGAAGAATTGTGTGATGAATTAAGCATTTACCTCTTCCTCTGTGAGAAGGTACTCAGGCGGAGGGTTGTAGGACTCCTCGTGTCCAGGCAGCCTCATCTTGGGGGCAGGGACGTGCATCTTGTGGCGCCCCAGGATGGCGTTGGGGTCCTCCTTGGCCCACAGGTCATAGTACTGAGGGGTGGTCTCTTTCGGCTTACGGGGCTTGATCCAACCCATCTTTATGGCATGGACCAGCTTCGAAACCTGGGAGAGATAGTGACAGGCCAAAAGTAGTGGTGAAACTAAAGTGTGTGTGTGTGTGTTTGCGCAAACACGCCTAAAACGAATGTACGAAAATTAAATCACACAGCATTAAAATAGGGGAGAATGTGCTCTGCTTCGTAAAATATAAAAGACTAACTTGATCAATGAGTGGAATAAAACCAAACCGACATTAATAGAAGGTATTGCTGGGCTAATAAAGCTACGGTTTCTAATGCTAGCAGGATCATTCTATATTTTTATTGTTGAGGGTTTGGGGGGTCTCTAATGTCTCTAAGCCTCCAATTTCAGAACCCCCATTATAACACAATTTCACCTCCGCTTCCACTTGGAAAACTATGCAGGGATCATTACATTCTAATGCCACACATGTGGGAGCAGTTAGGAGGCAAACTGGTGGTAACGTGAGCATTTTCATTTTACTCCCGCTATATATTTATTGTAAATATAGATTAACAGCATAAAACATGAAGCTGTTGAGTGAGCAGAGAGAGGAACAGAGAGGTATTTAGAAGGGGGGGGATAGAGAGACCGAGACAGAGAGAGATAGAGAGAGACCGAGACAGAGAACGAGAGAAAAAGAGAGTTTGAGAGAGAGAGTGTAAGAAAGAGACAGAGAGAGTTTGAAAGAGGTAGACAGAGAGTAAGAAAGAGGTAGATAGAGAGAAAGAGGTAGATAGAGAGAGAGAGTAAGAAAGAGGTAGATAGAGAGAGAGTAAGAAAGAGGTAGATAGAGAGAGAGAGTAAGAAAGAGGTAGATAGAGAGAGAGAGTAAGAAAGAGGTAGATAGAGAGAGAGAGTAAGAAAGAGGTAGATAGAGAGAGAGAGTAAGAAAGAGGTAGATAGAGAGAGAGTAAGAAAGAGAGAGACCTACCTTCTCCTTCTCTATGAGTGAGGGGATGAAGCTGCGTTTGTCCTGGGGCCTGTTAGTCACTGGATGGATCATGACCTCGTTGGTGAAGAAGTCCACTGACGGCTAAAAAAAAACACGTTTATGAGAGACAGAAAAAAATAGAGAAAAGTGTGTGAGAAAACATCTCTGTATGGAGGACAAAAACAACAGTGTGCGATGACTGAGGTTGTGTTCCAAATGGCACCCTATTTCCTATATAGTGCACTCCTTTTCAAATCAAAATCAAAGCAAAGTTTATTGGTCGCGTACACAGTTTGCAGATGTTATCGCAGGTGCAGCGAAATGCTTGTTATTTAGCGCCAACGGTGCAGTAATATCTAGCAATACAAAACAAGACACACAATACAATAATACAAAGATATCAGAATGAGCTGAATACTTTTGACCAGGGGCCGTGGGTCAAAAGCGATGCACTATTATAGGGAACAGGGAGCCATTTGGGACACAGCCTGAAGTCTGAAGTAAACAAAGTCTGCTAGGATTGAAGACAGACCCTTGTGAAACAAACGTCTGGGAAGCCATAGTTTAATAGACAGCCCAATGACTTTGGACTGGAATCATTGGACCACCAAAGTCCAAGACAGGTAGCTGATGATGACATTACCGAGTTAGCCTGATATTTTCTTATTTTACAGTGCTGGTGTTAAAGGTTTAAAAACACTTGTTTTTGCCCCTGACAAATTAGTTTATATGCTTCTGTAATAACACTGGCATTAACGAGATTCCATGATAGCCATGACACCATCTAGATTCTAGACACTACAGTAGTGGCTTCTCAATTCAACCCTATTAATTTAAAACCTCTCAGCAAACCCTGCTAATTGCAGCACAGGAGAACTCTCCTCTCCAGACGTGGGTTCAACTACTATTTGAAATCGTGCAAATACTTTGAGCATTTGCGCCAGTCTGCCTGCAGCGCCAGGTGGGCGAGGTTTGCAATTGTGGGACATTTCTATAGGTTTCATTGCAACATGCAACTCAATCAATCACAGCTAAAGAATCTGAAACAATTTCCGATTGTATTTGAGCCCTGGTCTACTTTCGGCTGACTTGTTCTAAGTGACGAGGAGTGGAGTGCAGACGAGGTTTGGGTTATGTGGGGAACATAAGTGGATGGGCTAATGAACTGAAGTCTAGTTTGCGCTCTCTAATGGCTGTTATGCTTTAGCCATTATCTGCTCAGTCATTTAACAAAACAGAGCTGCCAGCCGTCCACACAGTCAAAACTGGGTCGTATGCACTAGGCACCAAACAAGAAAAAAATACGGACTGAAACAGGGAGGGACTAGCAGAATGTTTTGCTTTCATTTTCCGTTGCAAAACGTTTTGCTACGTTTGGCCTTAAATGAATAGGACCCTCACAGGCAGTGAGAGGGCAGTCACAACATGACCAGTCTTTACCTCGTACTCGTTGAAGTTGACGTCGCCAAACTGACCCTTCTGGAGGCGGTGTACCAGGTCCACCTGCTCGTCTGTCAGACGGATGTCTGAGGCCGTCGTCTTGTCATGGACCGTACGCCTGGCGGAGGGGGAGATGGAGGGAGAGAGACGGGGAGAGAGAGGCCAGATGTGAAAACAGGTTCACCGATACTCTTTTCCCAGAACAAAAGCAGAGAGAAAGAAGAGCGAGCGAGGGTGTTAGAGAGAGGGTGTTAGAGAGAGGTTGTTAGAGAGAGGGAGGTCATCTGCTCCTTGTCATCTCACCAGTAGTCTGGGTTCTCCATCTTGTCCAGGAACTCATCCAGCTCGTCTTTGTTCCTGATGGGCTTAAAGATCTTCTTCCCGTCCAGGTCATAGCCGATGTGAGGGTAGTCCTGGTACCACTCCATGGGAATGTTGCCCACCGTGTTACGAATGTCCTGGGATAGAAAGGAGGGAGGAAGAGAGCGACATGTTCAATAACCGTGTTTAACAACACTTGAGGACGGGGTGTTTGCAGTGGCATTAGACGGGTTAGCTCAAGGGCTATTACAGTCCTTCATATCACGTAAAAAAAATAAAAAAAATCAGGCCGAGTGGAATAAATAGCAGATTATAATGCTCTGGGAGTAGAGTAGAGTTTTACTGGCCTGGAAACACTCTCACCCTCATCATACTTGTCCCATTTTCCTCCATTCATTTATGAATGCTATTGGCTGGATGAGCCCTGGGGGGGGGTTGGGGTAAGGTGGGTGGGTGGTGGTGGGGTACAGGTGCAGGCCTGGTGAGAAATCCAGCATGGTAAAAATACATTCTACATCCCGTTCCCATTCACAGACTGGCAATAGGACTACAAGCCTGCTCTAGGACGATAGGACTTATTAAACCAAATGGGTACAGTCTGAAAAAATAGAGTTCTTTGTCTGAGAAATGACACACACACACACTTATTCACACACCGACTCACATGGGTGCGTACACACACACACGACAGCTGAAAGCTCTCAGAAGTAGTGAGCCACTCTTTAAAGTGGGGCCTGCACCTGTGAGTGATTTCAATAAAAACACCCCTACCATATCCAATTAGGAGGGAGTGGGCAGCCGTGTCACGCTTTTTCTCACAGCCACGGCCAGCTGGGTAGAACCCTCCCACACACACAGTGCCCATCCTCAAAGCCCCCACTCATTACACACACTTTGAATGGGCATTGGCTCTGCTCTAGATAGAACTACCTGAGTGAGGTTGAGGAGGTTGTGTTGTGTCTGTTGTGTGATAAGGGTCATGCCAACATTAGCCTATTCCAGACTCTGAATAAGCACAGACACTTCAATTGTGCTAGAAGTATCTCCTCTTTGCTAGTTAGTGGATTTGTTGGCCCACAGTGTTGAAGTTCATGCCAATATTATTGCAGATAGTCAAGGGAGCCGGAAGAACAGTAACAGGAGAAATACTAATGTGACACTTCCTGTGACCTCTATAAAGGTCAACCTGGCTGGCTGGTTGCTGAGACCAGACCTCTAGCGAGCTATCACACAGCCTATGGAGACAACTACATGCTACTGCAAGAACAAAACATTTAGGCAGTGATATAGCCGGCAGATTATCAATGGTTTTGTACGGCGGTTTGCTAACCCTATGCCTAACCTTAGCCCTTGACGTAACCTTTAACTTAACCTAATATCCCCAACCCTACTAACCAGGCCGTTCCATCTCTAGACCTAACCATAACCTTTAGATCTGCCGGTCGACCATCCACATCCAAAGACGTATGCAGCTAACTGCATCTCTCGCATTGATGTAGCCTAGTTAGCAGTTAGAAGTGCACATTAATTAGGTCTATTCTATGGCAAGACAAAGCACCTAAAGTTGGACTTGTAGTACACTCACTACAAGCTAAACTCTACTAAGCCCCTTCACTTCAAGCTACAGTAAACTACTAAACAGAAGGACCTGCCAGCCCCCCACCAGGACAGTCTTGTGTTGCTGTGACATAGCCTGTGTTGCTGTGACATAGCCACTGTTGCTCAGCCTAGGTGATGACACCCACCTGGCCCGATGGCCAGCCCCAGCCCCCCTCGCCTGCCTTTCTGCTTCACTGGGGCCTGGAGAACTGGAGGAGAGAGAGCGTAACAGGGCCAACGACAGACAAATGTTCCATTTCACGAGCTCCAGAATCACACAGACGACTTCTGGGCAAGCGAGTGTGTTTCGGTCCGGGGGATCGAGTTTCACCGGAGAGTGGGCTCTAACCTCCTTCCAATGCACCTGAGGGAGGAAGCGAGCGACGCAAATGAGATTCAACGAGATGGGTTAGAGTCGTGATTTATGAATTATTGTTCCGATGTGTCGCCAGAATGTTGACTCCTGTTTTCTTCATCTGAACTTTCGAATGAAATCGTTTATTTTTCTACTATGGTAAGGATGACTCCAATACACACAACAATTGTATGACACTACAGAGAAAATTAAAAGAAAAAACCAGCAGGCCCATATGACAACCTAATAGGATTCAGCCGGAAATAATATATTTTAAATAGACTAAGAACAATAGCATGGAATCCCAGAGTTGACAAGAGCCAGCGGGAGTTAAAGCCAATTCATGCTTGATCCGAAATGTGGTCG